AGTCTGTTCTGGACTTGGGGACTGTGAAGAGACCTCTGGTGGCATGTCTTGCTTTTAGTTTTTGAAATATTTAGGACTAACTTATTCCTTCCCACCCATTCTGAAACTAACTGCAGCTCTTTGTTAAGTGTTGCTGTCATTTCAGTCGCTGTGGTAGCTGACGTGTATAGTGTTGAGTCATCCGCATACATAGACACACTGGCTTTACTCAAAGCCAGTGGCATGTCGTTAGTAAAGATTGAAAAAAGTAAGGGAACTAGACAACTGCGCTGGGGAATTCCTGATTCTACCTGGATTTTGTTGGAGAGGCTTCCATTAAAGAACACCCTCTGTGATCTGTTAGACAGGTAGCTCTTTATCCACAATATAGCAGGGGGTGTAAATCCATAACACATTTTTCCAGCAACAGACTATGATCGATAATGTCTAAAGCCGCACTGAAGTCTAACAAAACAGCCCACACAATCATCAGTAACTTGTGTAAGTGCTGTGCTTGTTGAATATCCTTCCCTATATGCGTGCTGAAAGTCTGTTGTCAATGTGTTTACTGTAAAATAGCATTTTATTTGATCAAATACATTTTTTTCAAAAGTTTACTAAGGGTTGGTAACAGGCTGATTGGTCGGCTATTTGAGCCAGTTAAGGGGGCTTTAATATTCTTAGGTAGGGGAATAACTTTTGCTTCCCTGCAGACATGAGGGCACACACTTTATAGTAGGCTTAAATTGAAGATATGGCAAATAGGAGTGGCAATATCGTCCGCTATTATCCTCAATAATTTTCCATCCAAGTTGTCAGACCCTGGTGGCTTGTCATTGTTGATCGACAATAATACTTTTTTGACCTCTTCCACACTTACTTTACGGAATTCAAAATTACAACGCTTGTCTTTCATAATTTGGTCAGATATACTTGAATGTGTAGTGTCATGCCTAAGTTTGCTAATCTTGCCAATTAAAAAATCATTAAAGTAGTTAGCAATAGCAGTGGGTTTTGTGATGAATGAGCCATCTGATTCAATGAATGATGGAGCGGAGTTTGCCTTTTTGCCAAAAATGTCATTTAAGGTGCTCCAAAGCTTTTTACTACATTTATATTTGTTTCATAGATAACAGTAGGTTATATATGGTAGTAGGTGCCAGGTGCTCCAGTTTGGGGAAAGAACTGCAATGCTGCTGGGTTTTTCACACTGAACAGTTTCCCCCGTGTATCAAGAATGGTCCACCACCAAAGCATTGGAGTCAACATGGGCCAGCATTCCTGTGGAACGCTTTCGGCACCTTGTAGAATCCATGCCCCGACGAATTGAGGCTGTGCTGAGGGCAAAAGAGGGGGGTGCCACTCAATATTAGGAAGGTGTCCTTAATGTTTTTTACACTCAGTGTAGATTGTGTCATGCCTTTATCGATTTTATATTTTGTTTACTAGGCCTACTACTTGGTACCGCTGTTTTGTTCTGTTCGCATTAATTCGTTCGTATTCGCAGTTGTGTCGGTATTCTAAGCCAAACTGCTTTTCAGTATTTTTCTTTGCATGCATGAATAACTAGGCTACTACTTTCAGCATTTAGTTTGCATTATTTTGGTAAGACAGCTGTGTGTTCGGCTGCATTCAAATAGGCTGTTTATAACAGGTGAATTATCCTATCTATCATGTAGCCCATATTTATTACCAAAACAGCCTTGCTTTAGTGTGTAGGGTGCTGTCCATTGTGCTGTTACAGCGCAGCGGAGATAGGCTACAGATTCCGCGCCAACCTGACTGTCACTTAAAAAGCACTCAATTATCTCTGAGTCTCAGCATTTGATCTTCATGTTTATTGAGGTATAGCGTGATATAAGCAGAATTCAATATCATTCCAATGCAAGAACCCCCCAAAATGTTGACCCCTCGCCAATTTCACTGCCCCCTTAGTCATTTTATCTTGGCGCCGAGTGCGAGTTCCACTCCATGGAGCAGCACACCCACGCTGGCGGGACAGACCTGCAGGTGGACCGCCAGTCCAGGAACGGGGCATTCTGATTGAACAGCCGAAGCTGCCGTTGAGGCATGGCACCTTTTCATTGGGGCAGAGCAGCGCATGCTCCTCCTCTTTGCACAGGTGGAAGAGGGCGCCACACAGCAGGTGGCAGGGGATGAGCACACAGGACACAGAGATATCCACAGGGGCCTTTCAGCGCCAGCTGAAGCAGCTGTCACAGTCGTGTGACCAGGGTGGGCGGGAAGGACAACCTTGGGGGAGGGTGAGACACAGGGAGAGAGGGAGGGAGATGGAATGAGAGATACAGAGAGAGAGGGAGGGAGAGGGAATGAGAGATACAGAGAGAGAGGGAGGGAGAGGGAATGAGAGATACAGAGAGAGAGGGAGGGAGAGGGAATGAGAGATACAGAGAGAGAGGGGAGGGAGAGGGAATGAGAGATACAGAGAGAGAGGGAGGGAGAGGGAATGAGAGATACAGAGAGAGAGGGAGGGAGAGGGAATGAGAGATACAGAGAGAGGGGAGGGAGGGATGAAGGGGGAAATGGAAAAAAGTAAGAGAGAGTAACTTCCTCTTTTATGATTGTCTTTATTTGGTTTCAATAGCTATTGATTTTATTTCATTTTTAGTTCAAATTAATTTCATGTGAATATCCTGGAAAACGAATTATTGTTGGTGACTGTGAACTTGTAGCCTACAGGTAGAGGTTATAACAACAAACAATAATAACAGGACAGATATAACACTGTCTGTGTCTGTGCTGCTAGGAGCCCTGACAGTCCTTGTCTTGCGTCAGATAGGGTGTCGAACCGAGCGACAAACGGTCGCATAGGAGTGATGCCTACTGAACGGAAGACAATGGGGTTGGGGTCAATTCCATTTCAATTCAGTAATTTCAGGAAGTAAACTGAAATTCCAACTCCAATTCCAATGTTTTTCAGTGCTTTTGTCAGAGAAAAAATTGAATTGGAACTTTAGTTTACTTCATGAATTGACTGAATTGAAATGCAATCGACTGCAACCCTCCAGAACCAGGAGTTCAGAACAGTGTACTTACTAATCTGACAGAGTGTTGTCTTACCAGGGTATCAACGCTAAAGAGTCTTTCCTCTTGTCTCTCTGTCCCCACTGAGGCTGTTGCAGTTAGTCACCTCGTCAGTCACACAGTCAGTCAAACAGACAGTCGGTTAGTCAGTCTGTCAGCCTTGCATGGGTTACAGTCCTGAAATGTGTTACGCCATTTACCAGGGCAGTGTTAAATATAGCTAGGTTGCATTCTGGTCTGCAGTGCGAATGGGGTCTCTCTCTGGAGCAGTTGAGTCAGGTTACACAGTGAGACAGACAGAAGGAAACCACAAAACACTGCAGAGATTTAATTAGTGTTTAAAGGCATTATAGATCCAACATGGATGTCATGTTGTCAACCAGTTCATTGTGTCTGTAATGATCAGTGTCAGTGTGAAGGTGAAAACTGTCATGGTGGAAGGCAGGCAGGCCTTTGTGGTTGGCAGAGTTGTCTGACATATTTCTTACACCCATCCAGTTGCTTTCAGCTCTACAAGGGGCCATCGTCTGATGGGTAGGGCTGGACTATACTCAGAGGCAGTGGAGGCTGGTGGGAGGAGCTATAGGAGGATGGGCTCATTGTAATGGCAATAAATGGAACGGAGTAAAACATGTGGCTTCCATAAGTTTTATGTGATTGATACCCTTCCATTTATTACATTCCAGCCATTACAATGAGCCCATCCTCCTATAGCTCCTCCCACCAGCCTCCACTGCTCAGAGGATATGTCTGACAGTGGGAGATAAGAGTTGGTATCCAACTGGGGCAATCATAGCTTTACTTTTGCGCACGTTTTTTTGGAAACAGCCACTAGAGGACACTGTATTGTATATGGAGGAGTGTTCCTCACATAGACTACGTTAGATGACACATCTTTGTATCTGTCCCATTATGGCATATGTGAGGGCATGGACAGTGCCATTGAGGCCATCTCCGTTTTGAAGTAGTCCATTTTCTTCTTCTAGCCTTCTTGTTTTTATAAGAAACATGAATGTGTTGGAAATTCCAAATTGTTTGCCTAGTCAACTTACACACAGCACTGACACACACACTTACCACACCAGACATGCCACCAGGGGTCTTTTCACAGTCCCCAGGTCCAGAACAAATTAAAGGAAATGTACAGTATTATACAGAGCCATGAGTACATAGAACTCCCTTCCATCTTATATAGCTCAAGTGAACAGCAAACCTGGTTTAAAACAACGAATAAAGCAACACCTCATGGCACAACGCCTCTCCCCCATGTGACCTACTTGTTGTGTGTATATATCAATGTGTAACTGATAGGTGCATACACACACACGCACACACACACACGCACATACACATACTACATGTTAATGTTTTGAATGTACTGTATGTAAATTGTAAAGTATTTTGTTTGTAATGTCTTTTTCGTTATGTGCCGATCGCAGTAAGACTAGCTGTCGCCATCGGCGTCGGCTAATGGGGATCCTAATAAATCAAAATCAAAATCAAATTCTACTACTTCCATGAGTTGGTAAACAAATTGAAAGGGTGCATACTGCCACCTGGAGTGTGGTGTTTGAACAGGTATAAAGCCAAGATTGACGATTAACTGACACCTGCAGTTATGGAATGTCTGCTCACAAGTAGAATTCATTGGCTGATCCCTCCTGATGACCTGGATGGAATTGTGTGATCCTTCCTTAACCCTTAGGAAGTCCCACCCAGTTGACTACTTTAAAATGGTGGAAGCCCTCAATGGCGCTGTCCATGCAAAAACAGGTTATTTCCAAGTAGGGATCTCTATCGCTATGGTTCCTCACTAGTTTCCCCCTGTCACTCAGTCGCACTGGTTGGTTGAATAACTGAGTTCTCAACTGACCCAGGGTCAGCCCTTGTCTGGTAACCAGAGCATGTTTTTGAACAGGCTGTGTAACATTTCTCAGTCAGCACATTGGCCTATTTATAACACTAACACACATGATCTTCAGAGGGGACAGACACCATGCAGTAGTCCTGTAGCGGCACAAGGGAAATGGTTTACTTCAGGTAATGTTGAGACTATGGACTATAAGACAGTTGTATAATGATTGTTTCTATGGTTTGAAAGCTTTAAACTTTAGTTTTACATTATAATAAAAGTTGCATTCAAAATGTCTTTCTGTTTACAGGGATTTGAGTTGAACAATGTTAAACTGACGAATAAGAACATGGTATGTTTCATTTCATTTAAATTGAAGCTTATTTTATGGCATGCTAAAGTAAAAACCACAATAAAACCAAATTGAACAACATTTCTGAATGTTTTCATTGAATTGATTTAGTCATGATGTTTTGGTGGGGAATGTGTACTATAGAGCTTCTGTGAAACAGCTGATACTGCTTCCCTGTAGAAATAGTTAACCATGTCTAGCCCACAAGACTTTAGATGCGTGTTTACAATTCTTGTTTAGTGTGGAGACTATGCCACCCCATGACTTTAATATGTGAGAGGTGAAATAGTTTTGACTGTGTTCTCTTCCTCTCACACTTTCTATCATTCGCTCTCTCTTTCCATCCCTCTTCCATCAGAGACGTCATTCCCTTTCCTCTCGCCCCCCCCGTCCTGCCGGTCACCGCCACTGTGACAGCTGCTTCAGCCGGCGGTGCAAGGCCCCTGTGGAGATCTCTGTGTCTTGTGTGCTCATCCCCTGTCGCCTTTTGTGTGGAGCCCTGTTCCACATGTGCAAAGAGGAGGAGCATGCGCTGCTCTGCCCCAATGAGAAGGTGCCATGCCTTAACGCCGCCTTCGGCTGTCCAATCATCATGCCCCGTTCCTGGCAGGCGGGCCACCTGCAGGTCTGTCCCGCCAGTGTGGTGTGCTGCTCAATGGAATGGATCCGCTGGCCAGCCGATGAAGCCTACGCAAACACACACCCCGACGTCCACGCACACACACACACCCTGCATGAGAACCTGCTGAAGGAGCAGAAGGCAGGAGAACAGCTGGACCTGGCCATGGCCCTGGATGATCAGAGACACCTGTACGCTCGTATGAAGATGAAGACTCTCTACCCAGAGATGATAGTGAAGGAGGAGGGAGAGGAAGAGGAGAAGAAAGAAGAGAAGAAAAAGAAGAAGACAGAAGACTGGGCTGCAGTGCGTCTAACTAATGGGGCCTCCACCCTCCGTACGGCTGCTGATGATGGGTGTAGTGAAGAGAGGCCATATGATATCCTATCTGGTAACCGGCTTTCCTAGACAAATCCAAAATGTTATTAGAACTTTATAAATTACAATAACTTGTTTTTCCTCATTATTATCCTCTCTCTCCTCTGTCCTCACTCACGCTCTCTCTCTCTGTTCTTCCCCTCTCTCTCCCCAGGCATTCCAGAAACAGCAGTGACAGACCTTTCAGACTTTTCTTTGGAGGAGGAGGAGGGAGATGTGGCTGCGGAGGAACCAGGGGGAAACATCAGCTCTGACAGATACAACAGGTATGAAAGGATGTTCAATATGGATAAAGGAGGCTGTAACCTGGACATCAAAAAGAGCCGGGGTAGAGAAGGGAAGGAGTGGAACCAGTGGATGGAGTTGGAGCAGCAGTCGTGCAGAGAGAAGAAGGAGAGAAGAGATGCAGAGGCAGAAGGAGAAGGGTTGATGGGAGCTCCGCAAGCTCCAGGAGCTTCAGGGAGACCAAGGGGGACCGAGGCCAATGCTAACGCAACAGGGACTACAGGTATGGCCCCATGGCAGGACGGGGTCCTGCAGCGCATGGCCAAGGAGGTCACCCCACAGGAATTCAACATGTACCTGGTGCACCACGGACGCATGCTGCTCACCTTTGGCCAGATGGATGCCTGCACACCACGGGAGAAAGACTTTGTCTACGGAAACATAGAGCCCATCCCTGTTCAGACACTGTACTCCTTCAAGGTAAGGGTGGAAGGTAGAAGTGGGACCTGCATGGACTTCACACACAATGTAAAAAATAAGGGCAAGCAGAAACTTGATGCAGTTGTGTTCATTTATTTAATATTCTCTGTAAGGCATATTTATATTCACATACACACAGATACACACACTTACACACACAAATCTTTGTAAAGTAATGTCATGTAGTCATGTTACTGTACAGTGCCTTGCAACAGTATTCATCCCCCTTGGCATTATTCCTATTGTGTTGCATTACAACCTGTAATTTTAAATGGATTTTTATTTGGATTTCATGTAATGGACATACACAAAATAGTCCAAATTGGTGAAGTGAAATGAAAAAAATAACTTGTTTAAGAAAATTCTAAAAAATAAATAATGGAAAAGTGGTGTGTGCATACAGTGAGGGAAAAAAGTATTTGATCCCCTGCTGATTTTGTACGTTTGCCCACTGACAAAGAAATGATCAGTCTATAATTTTAATGGTAGGTTTATTTGAACAGTGAGAGACAGAATAACAACAAAAAAATCCAGAAAAACGCATGTCAAAAATGTTATAAATTGATTTGCATTTTAACGAGGGAAATAAGTATTTGACCCCTCTGCAAAACATGAATTAGTACTTGGTGGCAAAACCCTTGTTGGCAAATAAACCTACCATTAAAATTATAGACTGATCATTTCTTTGTCAGTGGGCAAACGTACAAAATCAGCAGGGGATCAAATACTTTTTTCCCTCACTGTATGTATTCATCCACTTTGCTATGAAGCCCCTAAATAAGATTTGGTGCAACCAATTACCTTCCGAAGTCACATAATTAGTTAAATAAAGTCCACCTGTGTGCAATCTAAGTGTCACATGATATGTCACATGATCTCAGTATATATACATCTGTTCTGAAAGGCCCCAGAGTCTGCAACACCACTAAGCGAGGGGCATCACCAAGCAAATGGCACCATGTAGACCAAGGAGCTCTCTAAACAGGTCAGGGACAAAGTTGTGGAGAAGTACAGATCAGGGTTGGGTTATAAAAAAAGATCAGAAACTTTGAATATCCCACGGAGCACCATTAAATCCATTATTAAACAATTGAAAGAATATGGCTCCACAACAAACCTGCCAAGAGAGGGCCGCCCACCAAAACTCACGGACCAGGCAAGGAGGGCATTAATCAGAGAGGCAACAAAGAGACCAAAGATAACCCTGAAGGAGCTGCAAAGCTCCACAGCGGAGATTGGAGTATCTGTCCATAGGACCACTTTAAGCCATACACTCCACAGAGCTGGGCTTTACGGAAGAGTGGCCAGAAAATAGCCACGCTCAAGTCTTCTGTTTTTTTGTCTTACGTCTTGTTTGTTTCACCCCAAAAATTATTTTGCATCTTCAAAGTGTTAGGCATGTTGTGTAAATCAAATGATACAAACCCCCAAAAAATCTGTTTTAATTCCAGGTTGTAAGGCAACAAAATAGGAAAAATGCCAAGGGGGGTGAATACTTTCGCAAGCCACTGTATGTGTTATCAATCATTGTTCCCCTGCAGGTTCCTGTCAGCTACCGAGAGAAGCAGCGTAGTATCCACTACTATGACGCATCCGCCCGTGCTGAGAGTACCTGGGTCTGTGTGGATACGTCTGACCTGGGGGCATTAAAGGAGTCCTGGTGGACGGACGAGGCTGAGAGCACACTACTGGGATACGCAGAGAGAGAGGTCATGGGGCATCAGGTAAGTGAAAGCTATCAGAAGAGTTCTGCAGGTTAAAATAAGTGCCAGTGCTAGGTGCAATAAAATGCTGAACAAAAAAAGAGCATACGTTTCCCAGCTATCAGAACAGAAATATAATACGTACGTCAACAACACATAAAGATATAATAGCGATGTTAACACAACACCTGGCTACTTTATCAAGCGGTTCGGATCAAGCGGTGTAACAGCTAAGGTGTTGGGTTGAAAGTCACAAGCCAAGGTCCCGGGTTCCATCCCTGGTTGGGATTACCCACTGATAAACAATGGGTGGAGATTTCTCTCTATCTCTGCCCGGATAAGGTTATTGGAGCTGTTCTTGAGCTGTTCTTAAGCGAGCTGAGATGTCTTTCTCACATCAACACCATTATCCCAGAAACCCTAGACCCACTCTAATTTGCATACCGCCACAACAGATCCACAGATGATGCAATCTCTATTGCGCTCCACACTTCCCTTTCGCACCTGGACAAAAGGAACACATATGTGAGAATGCTATTCATTGACTACAGCTCAGCGTTCAACACCATAGTGCCCTCAAAGCTCATCACTAAACTAAGGACCATGGGACTAAACACCTCCCTCTGCAACTGAATCCTGGACTTCCTGACGGACCGCCCCCAGGTGCTAAGGGTAGGTAACAACACATCCGCCACGCTGATCTTCAACAAGGGGGCCCCTCAGGGGTGCGTACTCAGTCCCCTCCTGTACTCCCTGTTCACTCATGACTGCATGGCCAGGCACGACTCCAACACCATCATTAAGTTTGCCAATGACACAACAGCAGTAGGCCTGATCACCGACAATGACGAGACAGCCTATAGGGAGGAAGTCAGAGACCTGGCCGTGTGGTGCCAGGACAACAACCTCTCCCTCAACGTGATCAAGACAAAGGAGATGATTGTGGACTACAGGAAAAAGAAGAGGACTGAGCACACCCCCATTCTCATCGACGGGGCTGTAGTGGAGCAGGTTGAGAGCTTCAAGTTCCTTGGTGTCCACATCACCAACAAACTATCATTGTCCAAGCACAAGAAGACAGTCGTGAAGAGCACAACAAACCCTATTCCCGCTAAGGAAACTGAAAAGATTTGGCATGGGTCCTCAGATCCTCAAAAGGTTCTACAGCTACACCATCATGAGCATCCTGACTGGTTGCATCACCGCCTGGTATGGCAACTACTCAGCCTCTGACCGCAAGGCACCCCCCTCCAACCCCCCCTCTTTTATGCTGCTGCTACTCTCTGTTTATTATCTATGCATAGTCACTTTAATAACTCTACCTACATGTACCTATTACATCAATTACCTCGACTAACCGGTGCCCCCGCACATTGACTCGATACCAGTACCCCCTGTATACAGCCTCGCTATTGTTATTTTACTGCTGCTATTTAATTATTTGTTACTTTTATTTATTTTTTTGTTTTTGGTATTCTTTCTTAAAACTGCATTGTTGTTTAAGGGCTTGTAAGTAAGCATTTCACTGTAAGGTCTACACCTGTTGTATTCGGCGCATGTGACAAATAACATTTGATTTGATTTTGATTTGATTCTCTCCGTCTTCCTGGTTCTAAGATCAGTGAGCTGCGTGGACAGGATGGGCTTTATGTGGACATGGGGATGCAGACCCACTCCTTCAGGACGGCGCCGTTCAGACGAGACACGACGTTAGCAGACCTGACAAGGGACAAGCCTCTGAAGCTCCGCCTCCAGCTGCAGGCAGACAGCACCTCCAGCCGACACAACAAGGCTAGCTCCGCCTTCACCTTCCTCTGTGGACACTCCTTCCAACGGAGGGAATTCCCCAAACACTTCAGGTATCCCAAACACTTCAGGCACTCCAAACACTTCCAACGCAAAGATTTCCCAACACTTCAGGTACCTGGGCCCCTGTGATGTCATGTAGCCTTGAGTAGTAGCCTTGATATGGCTGTATAGCCTCCATTGTAATGGCTTCTACACAACTAAAATGAAACATCGTTATCATTATTCAGGAACGTGCACACAGACATTCAGACGTGTGCTAGTGGCTGGTTTGAGCAGAGGTGTCCCCTGGCCTACCTGGGCTGCACCTACAGCCAGAGAAGGTTAGAGCCTTTCAGACAACCTGCCACCGTCACCTACAAGTAAGAACCATTCAACTAACTACTCACAACTCATGCTCTGATTATGGAAGAACTGGTGTTTGTATATAGTTCAGTATTTGTATTTACAGTCATTCAGTATATTCCCTCCAATTGCAATTGCTTTTTTTGGGGGTTGGTTGCATTACCATACCCTAATCCTGGCCTCTGACCCTTTACCTACAGCCAGGAACTGAGCATCTTCAACCTCCGACCCACCGTCCCAGCCTCTCTAGGGGAGGGACCAGAGCCCCCCAAACCCTCCAAGTCCCAGTCTGCTCCAGAACCTGTCTCAACCCCCAGGAGGTGGCGGTCGAAGGGAGAAGGGGACTGCGATTCTCTGAGTGCTTTGCCATCCGAGGTGCTGTGCCACATTGCCAGCTTCCTGGACAGTCTGTCCCTGTCCCAACTGGCCCTGGTGTCCCGCCTCATGAGAGAGGTGTGTTCCTCTCTGCTGCAGGACAGGGGGATGGTGTCCTTCCTCTGGGAAAAGAAGACCTACAAGTCCGGTGTGGCCAAATGGAAGGCCAAAACTGTAAGAGCACTGGAGGTTACAATGACAACAGTCTGTCTAGTAAGTTAAATGCAGTGAAATGGAAACGTAACCCCCTTCTGTGATTTGTCACATGTCCCATGTTCTCCTCTCTCTCCCTGCCTACCCTCTCCTATCCTCTCTTTCCTTTCCTCTCATCTTGTATCTATCCCCAGGTGTGGGAGTTCAGTCATCTGTTCTCTACAGTGGATTTGTGGCGTTTTATAGACAACGTGCCGTCCATGTCGGAGCACCTGAAGGTTTGTTCGTACTACCAGACCTGGGTACCACCCCAGCCGGTGGCCCTGCCCAGCATGAGTCACCTACGGGGGGGAACACAGGAGCAGGATAACCAGCAGAGACAGAGCCTGGTTACTCAGTTCATGGGCAACAGATAGCAGGGGAAAAATATAATTCTGATCCTTCCTGACAGTCAGTGCTGGCTGGTGGCACTTCAAATCTGAGGATGGGCTGACAGTAATGGCTGGGATGGAATAAATGGAATGGTTTCCATGTGTTTCATACAATTCCATCAACTCCATTCCAGCCATTATTATGATCCAGCCTCCCCTCACCCGCCTCCTCTGCTGACAGTCCAACCTTGAAGCATGAATAGAAGAAATAGAACAAATATGTGCCAGACATTTTCAGCTACAGAGAATTCAGTTAAAAAGTGTGTGTTTATTACTAAAACCTTAAGGTTACTTGTTAAATTAACAGTTGGATTTACCAGAATCTCTACGCAGCTCAAATAACCAATCACACACAGGAGACGGACAGGTTGAGTGACGAATGAGGGATTGTCTCCCCTCATACCAAAGAGCCATTTGCCTGCCCTCTGATCATTCTCGAACATGCCGGACTTCCTCACACTCTTGCAAGTAGGGGAATGTGGTGAGATATCTCACTCATAACATCAGAGAACCGGGGTAATGCAAGTAACCTTAAGTTATTTTTCAATTATTAGTTTCAATATCTCACAGTGGGATATGGCCAACTCCCGTATCACATATGCTCTCCGAAGCCAGGCAATCTCAACGTATCAACCCTCAGAGGCCTCGACACTGAGGACAGTATGCGCCAAAGACTGCGCAGTGAAGTCTAGCCGGTAGAACGTCATAAATGTAAGCCTTTGCTGTTATAGGCCAATATACAGTGGGGAAAAAAAGTATTTAGTCAGCCACCAATTGTGCAAGTTCTCCCACTTAAAAAGATGAGAGAGGCCTGTCATTTTCATCATAGGTACACGTCAACTATGACAGATAAAATGAGAAACAAATATCCAGAAAATCACATTGTAGGATTTTTAATGAATTTATTTGCAAATTATGGTGGAAAATAAGTATTTGGTCAATAACAAAAGCGCACTGAATGATACACCCTATGACGTCTTCCAGTGTATTGATGCGGGGGGGGGGTTGGGGGGGGGGGGGGGTTGAGATAAAAAAATACATGTAGTCCTGTTATGTGGCAATTCGCGAAGGCTCTATGTTATACTGATCGCACTATACATTTTTGTGGGTGTAGATATGGTTGTCCTTGTTTGATAGAGCCATTGGATGCCTTTCTGCGATATTCCTATTGGTGAATTCATTGCTAAATATACAAGCAAACACATTTTTTCCAGTCTCTGAAAGACTACAACTTGTGTTGGGCGGTGCTTCGTGCTCTGGCCCCTGTCCCTCCCCCAAGGCGGGCTGTTTTAAAAAGGAGGCAGATACTAACAACAATCCTTTGGGCAAAACTGGAAGAACTGACCAGATGCAATGGCTTCAAATGATTCCTCTCGTCAACACGAATGCGATGATGGATCATCTATTAGCTACATGGAGATATTCAACCATACATGTTTCAATCGGAATATAGCAAAGAGGATTTGAAACAAAGAGTTCGATTTAGCTAACGTTAGAAGCTCAGCTACAGCCGACGCCAGCACCAAGAGGGTAGATGACAAATATGGTGCCTAGTTAAGTAAGTTATTTTTCCTGCATGCTAACTTTAGTTTATCTACTGAAACCCATATTGCTGGTTAACATACAGTGGGGAAAAAAAGTATTTAGTCAGCCACCAATTGTGCAAGTTCTCCCACTTAAAAAGATGAGAGATGCCTGTCATTTTCATCATAGGTACACGTCAACTATGACAGATAAAATGAGAAACAAATATCCAGAAAATCACATTGTAGGATTTTTAATGAATTTATTTGCAAATTATGGTGGAAAATAAGTATTTGGTCAATAACAACAGTTTCTCAATACTTTGTTATATACCCTTTGTTGGCAATGACACAGGTCAAACGTTTTCTGTAAGTCTTCACAAGGTTTTCACACACTGTTGCTGGTATTTTGGCCCATTCCTCCATGCAGATCTCCTCTAGAGCAGTGATGTTTTGGGGGCTGTCGCTGGGCAACACAGACTTTCAACTCCCTCCAAAGATTTTCTATGGGGTTGAGATCTGGAGACTGGCTAGGCCACTCCAGGACCTTGAAATGCTTCTTACGAAGCCACTCCTTCGTTGCCCAGGCGGTGTGTTTGGGATCATTGTCATGCTGAAAGACCCAGCCATGTTTCATCTTCAATGCCCTTGCTGATGGAAGGAGGTTTTCACTCAAAATCTCACGATACATGGCCCAGTCATTCTTTCCTTTACACGGATCAGTCGTCCTGGTCCCTTTGCAGAAAAACAGCCCCAAAGCATGATGTTTCCACCCCCATGCTTCACAGTAGGTATGGTGTTCTTTGGATGCAACTCAGCATTCTTTGTCCTCCAAACACGACAAGTTGAGTTTTTACCAAAAAGTTCTATTTTGGTTTCATCTGACCATATGACATTCTCCCAATCCTCTTCTGGATCATCCAAATGCACTCTAGCAAACTTCAGACAGGCCTGGACATGTACTGGCTTAAGCAGGGGGACACGTCTGGCACTGCAGGATTTGAGTCCCTGGCGGCGTAGTGTGTTACTGATGGTAGGCTTTGTTACTTTGGTCCCAGCTCTCTGCAGGTCATTCACTAGGTCCCCCCGCGTGGTTCTGGGATTTTTGCTCACCGTTCTTGTGATCATTTTGACCCCACCGGGTGAGATATTGCGTGGAGCCCCAGATCGAGGGAGATTATCAGTGGTCTTGTATGTCTTCCATTTTCTAATAATTGCTCCCACAGTTGATTTCTTCAAACCAAGCTGCTTACCTATTGCAGATTCAGTCTTCCCAGCCTGGTGCAGGTCTACAATTTTGTTTCTGGTGTCCTTTGACAGCTCTTTGGTCTTGGCCATAGTGGAGTTTGGAGTGTGACTGTTTGAGGTTGTGGACAGGTGTCTTTTATACTGATAACAAGTTCAAACAGGTGCCATTAATACAGGTAATGAGTGGAGGACAGAGGAGCCTCTTAAAGAAGAAGTTACAGGTCTGTGAGAGCCAGAAATCTTGCTTGTTTGTAGGTGACCAAATACTTATTTTCCACCATAATTTGCAAATAAATTCATTAAAAATCCTACACTGTACTACTGTGTTACAGTGGGGAGAAATCATATTATTGTTCTGTTTGCTAACTTAGCTAGCTATGTAGCTAGCTAGCTAAACAACTACCGGTGCCATATCTATGACAAAAAATAGAAGAGGTTTTACAATTGAAAATATTTGATATCTCGATTGTAAAACCTCTTCTCTTTTTAGTCGTAGATATGGCTAGCTACTAAACAGCAAGCTACAACGTTACAACCAGCCACCTAAATCTAGGTTTACCAGCAAATGTTAGCACATGGCTGGAGTTGGCTAGCTAGTTAACCTGGCGCCTGCTAACTTGTTAAGCACCATGCCTCGCATTTGTAACTTGTTAGCAAACATGTGTAACATCAACAACTGTAAATAATTTGACTAGCTCGCTATCCAACATAATTGACAAGGGTTGACATTGGTTTTGACTATGACCTTGGATGCATTTCAATCTCACAAAAGTATAGGCATGACGCAAGATAGGAATCCAAACAGGTAAATAACAAGTATTGCATATCCAGCAAGCTAGCTAAGTTAACTAGCAAACAAGAATACAACAATTTACTGTTGTAAATCTCTTAAACTAAAGCTGGTTTTACTATAAAAAAATATTTGCCTAAAGATGCCTGATAGACATGGCTGTAGGTAGATACTGTCTGCCTACCTACCTAGGCTCATTTATACAGTCACTTTGCAAAGGAGGGTTATGCCATATTTCATTCTATTAGTCTAGATATTGATGTAAATGTAATCTCTGTGCCTGTGCACATGTATGCATGTTTAAATAGTCTACCCTAATTTTGATGTTATGCTGGCACAATTCAGCTGTTGTTCAAACTAAACAATAGAGTTAAATTGTTTAGTTTTTTGTCTAACAGACCAGACAGTGTGGTGCCTGGGCTTCTTCCTGGAGTGGATTCTAGATACAGAAACATAATTCATTTGCCTGCTGTGTGTCATTGTAGCAGAACTGTATCCCGTGAACTGTATCCCTCTCAAGGGATTATACATTATGCTGGATTTCAAGCAGATGACTCATGAGGAGCTGAATGGCAATTTGATCATGACAACACTCCTCCCACAGCTTTACAAGTATTTGGAATTGCAATTTCATCATGACCACCTCTCCCATCATCTGCTGATCACCAGTTCTCTTAGCTATAGATTGCTACACCAAATAATGTGATTTAACCAAACATTTTTGTTATCCATTACTGGGAGTTACAGGATAGGTATGGTTTGGCTCACAGAGTAAATGTGAGGCATGGCGCACAACAAGTTGCGGGCGCCAGGCTAACTAGCTAGCCAACTCCAGCCATGTGCTAACATTTGCTGGTAAACCTAGCTTTAGGTGGCTGGTTGTAACATTGTGGCTTGTTGTTTAGTAGCTATCCATATCTACGACTAAAAAGAGAAGAGGTTTTACAATCGAGATACGAAAGACCTCCAATTGTTTTTTTTGCACTTTTTCTAAACATCGTCACCCACCTCATGTAGCCTAGCCCATAGGCCTATATGTTTTGATAAGGATAACTAAACCAGCCAAAGAACTTCTTAAAATTAAGCACATTAATCTGCTTTACAACGAGTGTAGAGCATAACTGGCAGACATACGCAGCGAGTGACCTTCAAGTTTGGGAAAGATAATTTTCTCCATAAAAATGCATCTTTATAATAAAAGCATTACATGCATAATTGCATTTGCGGTCGCTTTTGATAATGGTGTTTTCCTGCTAATGGAACATTCACGCTTATAGCCTACTGCCATGTGAGCATTGCTGCGCTTAAAGTGTGAAGAAATAGCCTAATAGTTTCTCAACATTTTAAGCTAAACGTACTGATCTGTTCCGTCAGCCTCATTGCGTAAAACTGGTTTTTTGATGCTATTGTTTTTATTAATTTGGGATCTATCGCATTCCACAAATGTCCCAGACTATGTTTGGAATATTTATTTCTTGCACAGAATAGAATAGGTACACATTTGTACTATGGGGGATAGTATATTGACATAGGCTAGTGCTTTTGCTGTTCGTTAGGCCTACTCATCTTATTGGCTGACGAAAAGTAAATGTGGACAGTTCTTCCAATATCTTCAATATGCACCTTGGAGTTGGATAAGGACATGCGAAGTTGCGTCCCCGATGTGTCTGTCTTCACTTGTAGCCTGTGAGAAAGGCCCGATCACATGATGGCGAGCCATGTGGGTGAGAGGTGCTTCGGAGCAAGCAGCACTCAGGGAGAAGGGAATTATGATTATTATATTCAGCCCAAGGGCACAACAGCCACTAGCCGCAAAAAGCATTGATTTTTTTAGGGGGCATGACGGCCACACTAAGGGGATGCCGCCGGGAAATTCTAGGCATTATCAAGTGCTTGTCAAATTGTGAAATGGAGACTGATGAAGCATGTACATCCTGCCCAAAAAACTTTTTTCAAATCATCATTAGAGTCGCATCATGCAGCCTTACAATGTATTAAAAATCTAAACTTAAAGGCCAACGTTTGTAGAACAGCTGAAGTTACATTAATAACTCTAAATTGAGCATATAGGAGTACCTATTTATTTGTTAACCGCTCAACACAGAATAGCTGTGTGTGCTCACTCCCTCAAATCGTTTTGAGAAAATATCCTTTCTATTTTATTTAGCTTTGTTCAATTGCATTCTTTATACTATAAAATAATGCCACGGAATTCTAAGCAAATCTTGTCTGCTAACTGAACTAGTGTAGCCCACAGCCATTTGGCATAGCCAGATGAGGACCTAACATAAGGACAACTCAGAGTATGCTATTCTGTTCTTCTGAAATAGACTAGATTTTCTTCATATCATGTTTCTTTAGACCTAAAATAAATAATGGATTTATTGTGAAGGTGTAGGCTATATTACATGGATTTATTAGACTTGGAAATGTAGATGTTCCAAATGTCTGCATCAGTGGCTTTTAGTCTATGTGTGGAAGCCAGGAGCTGCTAAATGTGTTCATGTTAATTAACGGTCAATTACCGTGAGACCGGCAGTTATTTGCTTGACAATCACCGTCTGATGAAATTTTGTGACTGCCTCAGCCCTACCTGGGACATGAGTCGCGCATAGTGGCAGTAGGTGTGCGCTGCTCCACAGAATAATCCTGACAAATAACCTGTGTAACCACAGGGAGCGAGTGCCACCCTGGCCGTTGATGTACAGTCGTATTGTCCGTTTTGTCCGTTTTGATCAAGACGTGACAATTCCGAAGGGAGGGTCGAAAGTGTCTCAGAGCAAGAAACACTCTCAGCAATTCGAAGTAGTTTAGAAATTATGACCAAAGCAGAGTTGTGCGTTCCACATAGGGGTCTCCACAGGTCAAAAAAGTTGGACCCGTTCCGAAATGGACACGTGGCTTTCCCGCCCGACATGCATAAATTACTTTAAAAAAACGGAGCATTAGCATTATATAAGCATTATATTGTTTGATTAAAGGAGTCAGTCTTGTAGGCCTTAAACATTCTTCCTCACCTCAAGTTCAACTGTTGGAGTCCGTTTGAGCGCCGTTGCGTACTGCGCATATTGCAGCATTAAATGAAGTTTATTTTTGCATTTCGGCCTCCTTGGTTTTTCCTTTTCATGGTTTGAGTGTGAGTAACGTAGTAATTCTATTATATTGCGGCAAACACAACATTACAGTTGGAACTTAATTTGGCCAAAGAAAATGGCTCAACAGAATTAAACAAAATACTTTGCATATTAAAATAATTGGTTTAAACCTTTAGAAACGTTTTAACAGGTTATATTGCAGCAATTATCAACAAAGGCAAATGCCTACTGTACCCAACAAATGACAGCAATACTTCAATAGGCTAATGATATTTATTTTACAACAGGCATACTTACAACCTTTCTTAAACTAAAAACGGAGCACAAAATGTTCAACAGAATTAAACAAAACACATTTGGCATATTTAAAGAACAGGTTTACATTAATAAATAGGCCTACAATAATAATAATAATAATAAAGATATACAATAATAATAATGATAAAACAAATGATAATAAATACAAAATAAATTATAGAAAAAAAATTGCATCGTTGCACACAGTCCATTTGGCCACACCAACGTTCTTCTCACTTTGCCCATTACAATATTAAAACTTGTCGGCTTCTTTTCACTATGCTCTTTCTCCTCTAACTTTTGTTTTACTTCAATGAAAAATACCTCCGTCTTCGCAATCAACAATAGCCTAGGCTAGGCCAAGGTTCTCTCTCTCTCCTCAGCAGCAGGTGCACGTGAAGTGGCTGGTACCCGTTTGAGCTGGACCTAAGCTATATGTTTTATTGAGTGTCAATTGGCTCACAGATACAGTGCCTTCAGAAAGTATTCACACCCCTTGACTTTTTCCATATTTTGTTGTGTTACAAGGTGGGATTCAAATTGATTTAATTGTAATTTTTTGGTCAACGATCTACACAAAATACTCTGTAATGTCAAAGTGGAAGAACATTTTTAACATTTGTAAAAACAAAAAGAGAAGAAAAAGAAAACATTAATATATATTGATTACAGAAGTATTCAACCCCCTGAGCCAGTACATGTTAGAATCACCTTTGTCAGCGATTACAGCTGTGTCTTTTTGGGTAAGTCTCTTAAGAGCTTTCCACACCTGGATTGTACAATATTTGCACATTATTATTTTTCAAATTCTTCAAGCTCAAGTTGCTTGTTGATCATTGCTAAACAGCCATTTTCAAGTCTTGCTATATATTTTCAAGCCGATTTAAGTCAAAACTCTGTAACTAGGCCATTCAGGAACATTCAATGTCGTCTTGGTAAGCAACTCCAGTGTATATTTGGTCTTGTGTTTTAGGTTATTGTCCTGCTGAAAGGTGAATTTGTCTCCCAGTGTCTGTTGGAAAGCAGACTGAACCAGGTTTTCCACTAGGATTTTGCCTGTGCTTAGCTCTATTCCATGTATTTCTATCCCCCCAACATACTCCCTTGCCGATGACATCATACCCATAACATGATGCAGCCACCACCATGCTTGAAAATATGAAGAATAGTACTCAGTGATGTGGTTTTTTAGATTTGCCTCAAACGTAATGCTTTGTATTCAGGACATAAAGTTAATTTCTTTGCTAAGTTGTTTGCAGTTTTACTTTACAAACAGGATGCATGTTTTTGAATATTTGTATTATGTACAGGCTTCCTTCTTTTCACTCTGTCATTTAGGTTAGTATTGTGGAGTAACTACAATGTTATTGATCCATCCTCAGTTTTCTCCTATCACAGCCATTAAACTCTGTAACTGTTTCAAAGTCAACATTGGCCTCATGGTGAAATTCCTGAACGGTTTCCTTCCTCTCCGGCAACTGAGTTAGGAGGGACACCTGTGTCTTTGTAGTGACTGAGTGTATTGATACACCATCCAGATTGTAATTACTAACTTCATCATGCTCAAAGGGATATTCAATGTCTGCTTTTTTGTTGTTGTTGCCATCTACCAATAGGTGCCCTTCTTTGCAAGGCATTGGAAAACCTCCCTGGCCTTTGTGGTTGAATCTGTGTTTCAACTTCACTGCTCGACTGAGGGACCTTACAGATAATTGTATGTGTGGGGTACAGAGATTAGTTAGTTATTCAAAAATCATGTCAAACACTATTATTGCACACTGAGTGAGTCCATGCAACTTATTATTTGACTTGTTAAGCACATTTCTACTCCTGAACTTATTTTGCTTGCCATAACAAAGGGGTTGAATACTTATTAACTCAAGACATTTCAGCTTTTCACTTTTAATTAATTGGTAAACATTTCTAAAAACATAATTCCACTTTGACATTATGGGGTATTGTGTGTAGGCCAGTGACACAAAATCAGAATTTAATAAATTTTAAATTCAGGCTGTAACACAACAGAATGTGTAAAAAGTCAAGGGGTGTGAATACTTTCGGAAGGCACTGTAACAAGCTTGTGCAGTTCTCATGACCTCACACATTAAATAAACAGAGGACGTGTCCAATCGGTCTGTAAATGCATTTTAATTGCACATACACGAGACCCGTGGCAATTATATTAGACCCGACCCAAATCAGAATTTTGGACCCGTACCCGTGATGGGGAGCAAAGCAGGTAATCGTCTATGTAGGTGGAGACTCTCAGCCACTTGTTTCGTTCGGGGAGCTCGTGCTAGCCCGAATGGAACAGCGAGGTATTCATAGGCTGTGCCTTGAAAAGCAAACCTTAGAAGCCTCTTGTGTGCTGGCAGGATGCTTATGTGAAAATAAGCATCCTGCAGGTCGACTGTTGTGAACCAGTCGCCTCGACGAATAGAGCGAGACAGCACGTTGAACGTAAGCATACGGAACGTGAACTTCTTCAGACAGTAGCCCACGGGTCGGTAGTCTCTCGCTCACCAGTGGTGCCGGAGTGCCCTCTGGTGGCGATGGAGCGAGGCTCCTTTCATTGTATTTTTGCTATGTGTTGGTAGCAAGACGCCTGGATACAGCAGACACTTTTTTTATTGAAAAGGGCAGTGTTCACACACTGGAACATGAAGACAGTGCATGGTGGCGACTAACAATTAGTCTTCCTACCACTGCTGTTTGAACTAGAGCCAGGGGGAGAGCCGTGGCACGTTAGGCAATCAGGGGTAGAGTCGATTCCCTCCGTCTTCCTTGAGAGCGAACACCCGAGAGGTGGTACTCCTAGATCGGGCACCCCTTCTTCTCTCCAAGGGAATCAAATGGGCGGGACCTTGATGCAGCTGCAGCGAAGGACTGTTTTCCCCACTGTCGTCCCCTGTTTGGTGATTCCAAACTGTAGGGTCGATGTCCGCTGCGTCGCTGTGGGGTTAATGCCCTGGTGAATTGCCCTTTACTTGCCCTTTTAGCAGGAAAATCCTTACAATGGACACATGACTGGGAGTCGTTGAACGTTGCTTCCACGTGTTCAAGACCCAGGCAGACAACACACAAGGGGTGCGTGTCCTTGCCTGATATGGTTGCCCCGCAAGGACACGTATGTGCCGGTGCTGGGGCAGGGGCCGGGGCCTTGCTCGGTACCCCTTGGGCTGAGCTAGCAGGATCAATGGCTTCAAAAAACAGCTAATCCGAGAACAAAGCAAAACGTAGCTAGCGTTCGCCGTGTGGGCTTGTACCAGTGCTAGCCAGAGATGCTAATCCTTTAACAATGTGAACGTAGCTAGTAGCCTAGCTAGTTAGCACAATATTAGCCAAAGGAAGCTAGCACTATGTTGGTCTTGCGACGAACAAAGCGTGGCTCTTGACCATTAAGCACGGTCGGTTTAGTCAATGCAATACAGGTAGAAAAAGTAGCTAACAGGAGGACTAGCCTTGCTTCGAGCTAGCCAGGTTAGCTAAGGCTTGCAGCTAAGCTAGCCAAGTCTCAGTAGCTAGCCATGTGATGCTAGCCATCACAGGAGACAAAAGGAAGAAAAAGCAAAAACGTTCCTTTTCTGTAAAGTCACCCAACACAGAAGAAGAGAGCTGAAAAACCTGCGCTCGGCGTCGTAACCTCGCGAGACACCTGTGAACAGTTGAACAGGAAAACAGATAAAGTCGTGCTGAGGAGAGCTAGAGTAGATTATTCTATGAGGAAGAGAGGTGAGAATGATCAGAGGGTGGGCAAATGGCTCTTTAGTATGAGGGAGGGGCTCCCTCATTCGCCACTCGACCTGTCTGTCTCTGACAGACGTGTGTGATTGGTTCTTCGAGCTGCTTAGAGATTCTGATGAATCCCACTGTGAGATATTGAAACTAATAACTGAAAGAGAACCAACACATTTCAAACAGATAGCCTGCTGTGCACCTTATACTCTGTTGCTCAACATTGTGGACTGGTGCCAGTTTAGATTTCTTTAAGATTTATTCCTCCATCCTGTGATATAGCAAATGTATATTTTGCATTTATAATATACGTTATTAATAGATCATTGCATTGAGTTATGACTGGTGGATGACAGTCAGTTATTGTGCACTGTTAAAATTAAGAGATTGTTAACACCAAACTAGTGGCAACTGAGTTGCCACCAACGTGAAGGAGACAAACCTTGCTGGAGTATTAAAACACATCCTGCTGAGATGTTTTGAAACATTAAATGGTGTGTTGAAACATCACTTAATCAAGTGTTGTGCAACACGTTGCCAGGGACTGAGAGCACTACCGGAAATGTTTGAAAACACTCTTCTGGTGTTGAAGAGTTCTGTTCAGTGCAGAATTAGATCACTTCTTCTGGAGCATTTGAATGTTTAACATTGATTTATGCATCTGATCATTTGCCAGTTTAACCCATTTTGGCAGGCATTGTTTAGCACAGTGTTCAATCCACCAGCAGTAACTAGAGGTTTTACAGCAAACATTGCAGGATACTGTATTTGCCTCTAACATTAAAAGTTGGAAATGTGGGAATGGGTCGTCTCATCATTGAATATCATTTTGCCTGAAGGTTTTGATATCCATTCATCATGATCCATTGCACCCCATGGCACAACAACAAGCAGATTAATACTAATATAGTAGTATACTTTTCTTTCTTCAAACGTGCATACAACATTGTGTGTAAGAATCATAAAGTCAAAAAACTGGCAAGATAGGAAGTGCAAGGAGATTAAAACCAGACTTCCAATTTTCTCTGTCTTTGGTCATCCTCATAAATGAGACTTACACTTTGAGCAACACATTAAGTTTGATTTATAAAATGGTCTGATGGTGAAGTGGACATATCCTGAAAGAAATAAATTATCTCACTACAATACTCTGCTCTTTCCACTGGGATTCTCTGAGCGTATTATGGGGGCTGAGACCCTCTAATTGTCCCATCTCTCTCTCTTGCTCTCTTACTATTTAAAATTCATCACATCACGAGTGAGCTCACCAGTGTTTTAAATAATTGAGTAAAACACTTTCTAAAAGTCGAAAGGGTAGAGTTTGTGCGCGCTGCCATGTTTTTCTGCGTCAACAAAAGATCAGAGGGGCATTCCAGAAGCCGGAATAGTGACTTAGCAAGATCTGTCAAACCAGACCTTGTGCAAACTCAGAATTTCTGACTCCAGAAAGAGAGCTTCAAAGAGAGCCTGATCAGAAACCATAGCAACGAATGCTCTGAAGCAAACCTGCCACCTACTAGGTTAACTTGATCTTAGCCTGTCCTGCTGATTACAGTGAGGGAAAAAAGTATTTGATCCCCTGCTGATTTTGTATGTTTGCCCACTGACAAAGACATGATCAGTCTATAATTTTAATGATAGGTTTATTTGAACAGTGAGAGACAGAATAACAACAAAAAATTCAGAAAAACGCATGTCAAAAATGTTATGAATTGATTTGCATTTTAACGAGGGAAATAAGTATTTGACCCCTCTGCAAAACATGACTTAGTACTTGGTGGCAAAACCCTTGTTGGCAATCACAGAGGTCAGACGTTTCTTGTAGTTGGCCACCAGGTTTGCACACATCTCAGGAGGGACTTTGTCCCACTCCTCTTTGCAGATCTTCTACAAGTCATTAAGGTTTCGAGGCTGACGTTTGGCAACTTGAAACTTCAGCTCCCTCCACAGATTTCCTATGGGATTAAGGTCTGGAGACTGGCTAGGCCACTTCAGGACCTTAATGTGCTTCTTCTTGAGCCACTCCTTTGTTGCCTTGGCCGTGTCTTTTGGGTCATTGTCATGCTGGAATACCCATCTACGACCCATTTTCAATGCCCTGGCTGAGGGAAGGAGGTTCTCACCCAAGATTTGACGGTACATGGCCCCGTCCATCGTCCCTTTGATGCGGTGAAGTTGTCCTGTCCCCTTAGCAGAAAAACACCCCCAAAGCATAATGTTTCCACCTCCATGTTTGACGGTGGGGATGGTGTTCTTGGGGTCATAGGCAGCATTCCTCCTCCTCCAAACACGGCGAGTTGAGTTGATGCCAAAGAGCTCGATTTTGGTCTCATCTGACCACAACACTTTCACCCAGTTTTCCTCTGAATCATTCAGATGTTCATTGGCAAACTTCAGACGGGCCTGCATATGTGCTTTATTGAGTAGGGGGACCTTGCGGGCGCTGCAGGATTTCAGTCCTTCACGGCGTAGTGTGTTACCAATTGTTTTCTTGGAGACTATGGTCCCAGCTGCCTTGAGATCATTGACAAGATCCTCCCGTGTAGTTCTGGGCTGATTCCTCACCGTTCTCATGATCATTGCAACTCCACGAGGTGAGATATTGCATGAAGCCCCAGGCCAAGGGAGATTGACAGTTATTTTGTGTTTCTTCCATTTGCGAATAATCACACCAACTGTTGTCACCTTCTCACCAAGCTGCTTGGCGATGGTCTTGTAGCCCATTCCAACCTGTCCCTGACATCCTTGGAGAGCCCTTTGGTCTTGGCCATGGTGGAGAGTTTGGAATCTGATTGATTTATTGCTTTTGTGGACAGGTGTCTTTTATACAGGTAACAAGCTGAGATTAGTATCACTCCCTTTAAGAGTGTGCTCCTAATCTCAGCTCGTTACCTGTATAAAAAGACACCTGGGAGCCAGAAATCTTTCTGATTGAGAGGGGGTCAAATACTTATTTCCCTCATTAAAATGCAAATCAATTTATAACATTTTTGACATGCGTTTTTCTGATTTTTGTTGTTGTTATTCTGTCTCTCACTGTTCAAATAAACCTACCATTAAAATTATAGACTGATCATTTCTTTGTCAGTGGGCAAACGTACAAAATCAGCAGGAGATCAAATACTTTTTTCCCTCACTGTAAATAGGGGACTTCTCCGCCAATCAGATTCTTGTTTGTCACAATGGCCCTTCTTGGAAAATGCACTTGACATCGGAGCCTGCATTGTTCGCCGTGCTTTACAAAGGAAACAAATTATTAGACCTCCTGTACTCCTTTAGATCATTCAGAAGTATTTATTTTTTAACGTCATCGTTTCATATACCTGGTCAATTTACTCAACTCACATATAGCAAATGTAACCCAACGCGGTTTTGCTTTGACTGCTATACAAACTCTGTGTATTGCTTTGATTTTTTGCACATCCTGTTTCCTGTACATCGTGTGCGATGCTGAACGATTTGGCAAGGCAACTGTGTGTAGAGCCGTACGAAGAGTCACCCTCGCACTGAAGAGATTTTTGAATGTCTTTGTTGCATTCCCTGGCCATCAAGCTGTCCATATAATCAAGGAGGACTTTTACAGAATTGCAGGTAACCTACAGTAGTCTGCGGTCAGTTGACTGCTAGCAATGCTTTGCTAATCTCAAATGTAAATTAATAAAGCTAGTCAACATGATAAAATGACTGCCTAATTCATCCCACAGATTTTCCAAACATCATTGCTACTAAAGCTGGGACACATATCCCCATTCAAAGACCATCTGGACCAAATGAAGGAGACTATGTGAATAGAAAATATTTTTACAGCATAAACGTGCAGGTATCTATTGAATACTGTAACCTACACTTTCACCAAGCCAAGTCATTTTCAGAAAAAGACATTAAACTCAATGATCTTCCTTACTTCTTTTGTCAGATGATCTGTGACTCCCAGAATCTCATCACCAATGTGGAACCCAAGTGGCCTGGCTCTGTGCATGATTTCAGAGAATCTACACTGTACCAGGGATTTCTGCAAGGTACAATATGTGTAATGTATAGTTCTAGCCTACACCTAACTGAAAAATCTCACATTGGCCCACTTCTTTTGCTCTATATTTAAAGAATACTATTATTCTATGCAGAACTCATGT